TTGTGTGATCTAGTGTCTGTCGGTGTTGAATCAAGTACTGCCTGAGTCACTCTGTCATCTGACTGATGATGGCGACAAGTTTGATCAGTGCTGGGGAGCCAAATTTGTCGATGGCTTTGGGTGGGACACCCCAAGCGACTGCAGCGGTCTGCAGTGTCTGCTCTTGTGAGTTGCTGAGTGAAGGGAATTCCGAAGCAACAATGTCAAGGTACTTTTTTACCTGTGTTTTTTGTTTGTCGCTGATGCCTTTGATGGCACCAAACCATCTGGTGATGCCGGATTCGGAGTGAACGCCAGTGAAATGATCTTGAAACCAAACACTGGCTTTTGTAGGCTGCTGAAAGATGCGCTGGGGATCCATCTTGGGATCGAGGGGTGCCGCCTTCGTTGGTGTAAGAGTTGACTGCTTCTGTCGCTTGGCGCCCAAAGTGGAGCGTCCCGGAAAGTGCATACCTGTGGTAGATGACGATGCTGGGGAAGTATGTACCGGGTTGTTGTCTTGTTCTGCAGCGGTTGTGGTGAAAGGGGAGAGGCCATCAGTGGTAGGCCTGGTGTCGGTGTGTGTAGAGTCATCGATGGTAGCACGTTTTTGTCCACGAGTGGTTGTGGTGGGGGAAATCTCAATTGTGGAAAGTGAGAGAGGTGGTGGAGAGGGCGTGTTGATGGGAGTGCTGGGTGCGGTGGTTCGTTTTGGTTTCTTTGGTGCTGGTGTGCTGGGTGCCTCATTGTGTGCATCCGGAGCACGGAGAGTTTCAATTGTCTCCAGTGCTGTGGAAAGTCGTGCTTCCAGGTCGCTGATGCGATGTGCCGCCATAGTGTCTGCCTCTGTCGGCTGCGAAGGTTGAAGTGGGAGATGAGGTTGTGATTTGCTGGATTGTAGTGGTGTTGGAGATTCGGTGGGTTGCGATTGTGTGTTGTCTGTGTCAGATTTTACATCTTGCTTGTCCTTTTTGTTGCCATCATTGTACTGGTCCTGCAGCTCTTGCAGGTACAACACCAATTCCTTGATGAGGTGTGACATTGCTGGTCGTTTTGCGAGTGTGAGCTTTTCTTGCCAGCAGAATGCGGTGGCCGCTTGGTCCAGATCAATTCTCCTTGCTCGGAGTTGACCCATAAGTTCAGTGGTAAAGACGGCTTCGCTGATGTGTTTGCTGCATGTGAGATGGATGTCGAAGCCGTGTGCGGCGTACCGTAGCCAGTACGAGGACCAATTGTGTCGCAGAAATGCGACCAATGGTGCTGTTGCGATTGGCATGCCTGCCGTGCGGTTGTGCACTGAATGTGGTGTAGATTGAATGTGTTTGGGTAGGTTGAGGCCAAAAAGCTGCCTGTTGTCCCAATGCTCTGGTGTTTGAACGAAGTCGTTTGGTATCTGGGGATTTGTAGGTGTGGGATTGGGGTGTTGTTGTTGTTGGGGTGTGACGGTTGCCTGAGGTAATGTATGTGAAGAAATGCTGGGGTTTCGAGTCGTCATCGAAGATGGACTCACAAATGTGTGTTGGGGAGTGGCAGGTGTGGGGGTTGGCAGTGTGGTGGGTGATGTTGGGCCGGGAAACTGCTGGGGTGGGGGAGGGGGTGGAGGGAAAGGTGGGAAAGTGGTGTTGTGGCTGTAAGTGTGAGCTGAACCCCAAGTAGTCGGGGTTAGGGGTGAGGTGTGTGGTGGGATGTTGTGAATCCCTGGTGGTGGGGAGATCGGGTGCATTGGGGTGCTACTGGTCGAGGCTGTTTGTCGCTGCACCGTACTGATTGCTGTACCGATGATGCCTGTTGGCATTGTTGTATGCCACTGAGGCTGTGTCGGCTTGTACATGGTTGCACAATGGGGCACTACAATTGCCTGTGACTGCAAAAGCTGCACATGGAACATGCATGAGCAACATGGTTGGCTTGAGTGTCAACATCAACTTGTGCGATGCATCCAGCATGCAGCTGCATCGACTCTTCTTTGGCTCAAAAGCGGTGTCGGAGCAAATGCTTGATTGCAAACAGCTATGTGCAACGGGATTCAGGCCTGGAAGAAAATATACTCGAGAGTGAAAGGAAGACACGGAAGAAAAAGAAGAAAGCAACATCACTGAATGAGGCCGAATCCAACGATGCTGAAATGCCCCGAGTGGAATCCCCACTTCTCTGGGGTCCGCACGACACCCTTTCGCCCCACGATGAAAGCTTCTCTGTACATGTCCCGATACGTCATCTTGTAATGCTGATACTTAGTCCGTATTGTCCCGATGACGATCACTCCCTGTTGGCCCTTGGGCCGCCGTGTACATTGATCGGTAACTATATGTACCGTGCTTTCCGATACATCTCCTGGGGTCGCATTCCCGTATATGACGCAAGAGGGAATGGGTGGATAGGACTTGTCGTCGAAGCAATGGCTGACTGAACTTGGGCGGACCAAGTCCTCGCGCATTATGCGCGCGGCACTTGCAATGCTCGTGCCGTGTCCGGCGGTGTAGATGTATGTTTCCCCTGGTGGGTCGGTGGCACGAGTGCCGAATGCTCTGCGAGTCTCTCCAGCCCACGGGATGAATAACATAGTATGTACGCCGTCCGATATTGGCGTCAGCGTTGCCCCCAGTTCGTTGCACGCTGATCGCGTGCCCGACTGTAGCACGGCATGTGCAAATTCGGCTAAAGTCTCCTGCCTGAAATCGCTGTCAGCAGCTATCTCGCCCAAGGTTTTGGCGAGTTTATGTGCTTCTTCCATGTCGACAGCGTGGGGGGTCGGCTTTTCATGATCGTAAAGCTCAGAGAAAGGCGCCACATCAATCTGTGGTGGTCTGCTCTGTTTGCCCAGTTGTTCGAGGGTTGGCTGACCCGATGGGGCAGCAGTTGTGGATGCATCAAAAATCGGGGCAGGTGTCCGAATAGAGCTGGAGGGATTGTGCTGAACCTGTTGGCGAGAGGGTGTGCCCTGGCCTGTTGGGGGCTGCTGTTGTGCTGCTTGGCTGCCCTTGATGCGAAGGGCGATTCGCTGAACCTGCGAGGCCAATGTCCTTTGTGGGACCTTGGGTGGGGTAGGTGGCCTCTGACGTGGCTGTGTGGCTCTGTAATGCCACTTGTTGGCATCATCATCACGCACTGTAGAATAGCTACGGAGCACAACCGAGGTCCGCGGAGGTGTCGACGAAGATTGTCTGGTGTCCCTGCGAGAACGACTTCTGCGAGTGTCGCGGGATCGGTGGTGTCTGCGTCGGCGGTGCTGTCTGCCGCTGCTTGCCGGTCGTGCTCTGCTGCGTGTGCGACGTCGGCGCCTAGTGCTCACGGTGCGAGTTCTGCTGCGTGTGGGTGTGCGCCGTCGCCTGCGTGGCAACGGAGGGTGGTGGGGAGAAGTACGTGCTGCGAGCTGGTCAGTGTCTGCCGATCCCGTAGCCGGGGGTGGTTGTGTGGGTGGCAATGTGCTGACGGAGGGGGTGTTGGCTGTGTTTGTTGGTTGTTGTTGGGGAGTCATTGCCGGTGTCTGCGGGGCAGTGTGTGCAGCATCGGTAGTGGTAACACTGGTGGGGTGAAGTTGTGAAGCTTGTTGGAGTGTTGTTGGCGGCGGTATGTGGGGTTGTTGAGCGGGTTGTGTGGAAGGAATGTTGCAAGGTGCAGGTTGGGGTTGTGGAGCAGGTGGTGTAAAAGGAAGGTTGTATGTGGTAGGCTGGGGCTGATGCGGTGTCAGAGTTGATGGGCTCGTGGGAAAAACTGTTGGATGGGTAGGCAAGAGAGCAGGGTTCAAGAACGTGGGGGGGTGTTGTGACATGAATTGCTGGGGTGGAGGTTGTTGTGGCATCTGGGGTTGTGGTGTGCTGAGATGTGTATATACCGTCGGATGCTGTGGAATAGGAGCAGTGTGTCCACACGGCATCATGGGGAAGCTGTGCGTCTGCTCAACAGGAATCGTAGTGGGTTGTGTCGGCAGTGTGGGCTGCTGAGTGGCAGCAATGCCAGTTGGCATCATTGCTGGGTAGCTTTGTGACTGCGGTACCCAGGTGTTCGGGTGAAATTGATTAAGCACCGGTCGGGCTGTTGGTGCATATGGTGTTGCTGGTGGCTGCGCGGCAAAATAATCCGGCCACATAGCTGCAACGAAGTGGGTGAAACAAACACAGTTGCACAAGCAAAGTGCAGGCTGTCCTGGTTGTCCCTGCTGGACTGATTTGAGAGGTCGTAGACGGAGAGAAGGAAGAGGGCCGAGTACTCTCCGAAGAGAGCGCTGTTTCACTTGCAGTAGACATTGTTACCGCGTCTGCGCTCATGTCAGGTGCACATGCCCTTGCAGTCCCTGAGGAATAAAGAAGCGGTAAAATACGGGGCAGACTAGAGAGGTAGCACCTGCTCACTAGACGCACTTTACTGCATTAGCCGTCCCTTACTGCACCTGCACTCATGTCAGACTCACATGCGAGCATCAGAGAGAGAGAGATAAAGTAGCATCGGGAGATTCTGAACGATCTGAACGAAGGCTGAACACCCGGTTCATCACCGGTCTCCCCGGAGGGTCACCACGGCGCCATGACGGAAAGCCGTTGCTCTGGAGTCTCAACGACCCACGCTGATCACACTGATGGATTCGGCCAAGAGTACGAGTGCAAGAGGAAAAAGAGAGGCATGTTGTTGCAAAAGCTTGTCAGATTGCGGCAAACGTGCAAGGCTTTGTGCTCAAGCAAAAGGTGAAAACCGTAAATGCACTAATCTTGCTGCCTCAGGGGGCCAGCGTTTTCTAATCTTGCTGCCTCAGGGGGCCCAGCTTGCAGGTACAAGAGGATGATCAGTCCTCTCCTCCCATGTCACTGGTAGCTTCGTTGGACACAGTCCCAGCGACATGCTGTGTCCCCCTGCAATAGTTGATTCGGTAAATGTCCAATGCCGGATTATGTTGAAAAGCGAAATTGCAAACAGTGTAGGAGTGACCCTCTGCTCCCATGTGCTAGGGAGGTTCACACACACACACACACACACACACGTGCGCGCGTGCTGACTGACTGGCTGCGCTCTGCATTCCCCAGCACCTTGCAAGAGATCGAAGTATGCTTGCGCCGCAAACCTGGCAGCCAAAGCATAGTGGGAAGATGAAGACAGAAAGAGAGTTAGAGAGCTACAGAGAGAAGGCGAGAGAGAGAAAGAGAAAAGAGAAAAGAGAAACAGAGAGAGAGAGAGAAAGAGAAAGAGAAAAGAGAAAGAGAGAGAGAGAGAGAGAGCATGTTTCTGCGAGCGCGTGTGCGTGTGTCTCTCTGGAATTCTGCTGGCTCCACGCGAAGCGGGCGTCGACGGTCTGCCTGCCTTGGAAAGGCCGCGCCGGGGAAGGGACGGTGACACGTTTTGTGTTGGGTTTGCAGGCGGAATACCTGTGTGCTAGACCGGGAGCGAACGACCGAAAGCCTGAGACCTCTTGCTGTGCGAGGAGGGCCCTCAAAGAACCTTCTCGGTGGCGCACAGAGAGGGCATCGTCCCGAGCGGTTCGACAACTCGGTTCCAGGCGCTGCCTTTGTCGACCAAATAATACATTCGTTTTCCAGGCAGTCCAGGCACAGTTCAGGTGTAGAAAACATGCAGTTACCGTCAAGACCTAGACCTTTCTCCTCAGCAGTGAAACGAGTGAAGCATTGAGGCCAGTGCTTCGTCCACGGAGAGCCTACGCGAGCGGAAGGCAGGCTTCTCGCCGGGGTTGAAAAGCACTACCTGCCAACTCCATGAGATGGCTTTTGCCCGTCAGCTACTGCATGCCGCATGTTTAAACTGAGCTTCGAGCATTCCGGTCGTGATACAGAACCTGGGCTCACGATTCAGCCACTTCCGGACACCACCGCTTAGGCTTCGTGATGCTATAAGGTCGCGACCATTCGCCAGTCGGAGCTGGCTTGCGCTTCACTTGCACCTTCTCCTGGAAGTGCCGGCAATCGGTTGTCTTCCAAGTGCCGGTGTAAGCTTCCAGACGGTGCATCCTTCAGCCTGCTCGGACACCTCCGAGGGAACCGGCAAGCGTGGGGAGACACCTCAGTGGCACGCAAGAGCACAGCCTCTCGGTCCGGTCCCCCTGGCTCCAAGCAGATGTCTGTTCGGGAACAGCAGAGATTTCTTAACGGGGAAATCGCGAGGACTGAATATGCAACGTCGGAATCCTCGCGTTTTCTTCTCACACGGACATCGGCTTCAGCATTTACAGGAAGATGTTCGCAAGTTTGAAAGACATGCAATACAGGCGATCATCATTTTCCGGTATCCACTGAAAAAACGAGTGCATTTAGAGAAGAGCATGTTCAACGATGTGGCTGGGGTGAACAGGAGCTGACAACAGTGTGGGTCTTTGGAATCCCATAAGAGTTGAAGTTACTTCTTTTCTGCAAGTGCAACACGTAACACTCCTTGAACAAAGACATGAAATCTGTCCGTGTAAACGTAATGTCCCCTTGCAGGGAAATCTCATGAATCAGCATGGAATTCAGTTTCTCCACTGTGATCCTTTGAACATCCGACGCAGCTCTACCGTAACACGATCTCCGTCTAACCTAAAAAACCGATGTCTCTGGCAGTTCGGAGCCAAGACTCGAGAGTTCGAGAGCTAAGCTCCTGGCGTTGGCGCTTGGAAGCTGGCATCATGCCTCTGTACGGCCCAGCTTTCAGGCTACAAAGTTCCTCGGTTGGAAGCTTGGCCCGGGACTCGGGGAGTCCTGCCTGCGGCTGTCAAAAGGCGCGCAGTGCAGGGAGTCCATCCTTGTCGGCGCAAGGCTGCATGTTTTCAGTTGTGTTCTACATCCAGGCAGAAGCGCATACGTCCTGGACCTCCTACGAACCTGCACTCACAGATTCAGATGCGAGCCGTAAGCAGTCCTGTCTGCCAGTAGCTCCCCCGGACGCTTCGCATTCGTGACCTGAACAGGCACAGCTTGTGGTGAGACATCGTCGTCCTTCACAGAATCCCAAGCCTCATCGCACAGCTGCACGTCTGACATGCAGTCTCAAGCCATGTGCTGACAGCGACGCCCACCAGCGCCGGCACTGAAGAATTCCCCCTGTTTGTCACTGTTTGTGCTGGGCGGATGCTTCGCTCGGCTAGGCCGCCAGGCTTGCAGAAGTACTCAGTTACTCAGCTCTGCGAAGCTTCGCAGTCGGTTCAGGTGCTCGTAGGCTGTGGCTGGAAACAGCGCAATGCTGCTCAATTCGATCTTGCTTCGAGGCTTAGCATGTACAGTAGGTTTCGTCGGTTTGGGGTGTCAGATTGAAGGCACAAGAGATGTTCGAAGTCTACCCCGTCCCGTCACGGCTCTCTGTGAGAAGCCTGTTCTTAACAGCTATCAAAACCAGTCGGTTGCATCTCGTGCTTCTCGTGGGAAATGGGCGAACGATGGCACAAGAACTTACGAAGACAAGCGGTCCCATCTGGGATGTTAACAGGATGCGTAGCCGGATGCAGCTTCATTTAAGGTGTAAAACCGCATGAAACCGTTCGATTCTCCCATCTTGCAGGCACGAGTTACTATGGCTTGTAGGGTTGGCAGCCACTTAGTCCGGTACAGTACGTCTTTGTGGCACCTCTGGCTGAGCCTGCTTAGGAGTGCATTTTACGTGGTTGGCCAGAAAAGGAAGTGTCTGTCGTGTCAAGAAAATTAAAAGGGGATCACAACTACAAGCAGGTAGAACTGAGGCGCAGCCAGGACGTCAATCAGTTTCAGGCAGAATCTTTATGCAGTTCGGATTCAAATTTCTATGCTGAAAATGCTGGCGCCTGCGTCCTATTATCCGCTCATGCTTGGCAATGTGGCAGATGGACGGATCAACAGGGACAGTATCTTCATAATAAATCACGAGAAGTTGCATATACGAGTTCTCACTTCTCGTACACGTACTGTCACTCGCTGTGGTTCGATCTACCAACCTCGACCATTAGGTAACGAAGGTGCAGAAGACCACCGTGTCCCGGAACAGCGAATACCATGAGCCGAGTTGCCAACAAGAGATAAGACACGGCTGTATGATTGCAGGTCAGTTGGGCAGGAACCATTACTGTCGGAGGCTGTGACTCTTGTTGCATGACTCACTGGACACAGCAGCTATCTTGCTATGACAGAAGACATGCGCTTGGAAGAATAGAGAAACGTTTGACCCTCATTTCGATCAATAGCAACGCGTCACCAACTCACAACTAGTCAGCCTGGCATATCGGTCTTTCTTCCATCGCGCACTACGCGGGTGGTTCCTCTGCAGAGCTGCATCCGTTTCGAGCTGCAAGCGGGGGGCAAAAGGTGCAAAGAAGGTACCTTGCTCAACACAAACAGCGTGTCGTCATGCTGGCCAAGCTGCGCCCGAATAAAGCTGCAGATGAGAAGCGTGCCGTGCGGCTAGGTCAAGCGGAAAAGCAGGGCAGTTTTCGCTGCAAAACCCTGGGTCGAGCGTTTGCCTCGCGAGCCAAAGCCTGCCTGTAGGTAGGGATCCCAAGTCTGTGCAAGATTTTGGTCACGATCTGGGACGCAAACGATGTGTTACTTCAACCCGGTCCTGTTGTGCCCTCCTTCTTGAGGTTGACACGATGACACTCACCGCGAATGACCCAACCCATGCCACGACCTTGCCAAGCGAGGACGATCCTTTGCCTGTCCGAGCGCCGCAACGTGCTGCCTGGATGCAAGTGCATGCACACCTTTCGAGTCTGGCCGCTTGATGGCGTCGGGTCGTCAGAAACCCTAACGACTCCTGTTCATCTACGGCTACAACATCCTGGGCTTAAGCACCCGCGTGCCGAGCCTCACACTTCACCGCAATGGTTGCTCCGTCTCCCAGCCTTTCACTTCAAGAGTGCTTTGCTCTTGTTCTGCTCCTCTCCTGTGTTCCAGTTCACCTCCGGAGCCCTACTTAGCATGTGCAAGCCCAACAAGTCTTAATGCCACGCACTGCGCAACCTAGCCTCGAAATCGTGGGTTCGCCGCCTCTGTGAGTATGACTTAGCCCTCAGCATGGCCCGAGCTGCACGCGGGCATACAAGACAAAAAGCAAAGAGGCACCCCGCTCAACACCAAACAGTGTCACGCAAGCACGTTGCAAATATGGCGCAGAGACACCTGATGTCATGCTGGCCATCCAAGATTGGGCCCGAACGAATCTGTTGGGCTAGCGCAGATGGACAACGTGGAGTGTCGCGCGGCCGAATTCGATGTGTTACTTCAACCCGGTCCTGTTGTGCCCTCCTTCTTGAGGTTGACCCGATGACACTCACCGCGAATGACCCAACCCATGCCACGACCTTGCCAAGCGAGGACGATCCTTTGCCTGTCCGAGCGCCGCAACGTGCTGCCTGGATGCAAGTGCATGCACACCTTCCGAGTCTGGCCGCTTGATGGCGTCGGGTCGTCAGAAACCCTAACGACTCCTGTTCATCTACGGCTGCAACATCCTGGGCTTAAGCACCCTCGTGCCGAGCCTCACACTTCACCGCAATGGTTGCTCCGTCTCCCAGCCTTTCACTTCAAGAGTGCTTTGCTCTTGTTCTGCTCCTCTCCTGTGTTCCAGTTCACCTCTGGAGCACTACTTAGCATGTGCAAGCCCAACAAGTCTTACTGCCACGCACTGCGCAACGTAGCTCTCCAGCTCCGAAGTTTATACGGGATGCTCAAGATGATACAAGTAGCCGCAAAAGCTCGCGTCACTCTGCAAGCTCTCACAGTTGCCCGGGGTCACTGGGCGAGCTCTGCCTTTGATGAACCACACCATTGCAGCGTGCGAACCGTGCGAGTTCTGATCAAGTTAAGTGCTGGCCTGTCACTGCAGACTTAACATATTTATACCAACGCAGCTTACTGCATCACTGACTGACAGTACGCACGCGGAAGATTCAACCGACCCAAATCACAGCTGCACCAACTTCTGCCGCGAGCTCATATTGCCACTAGCAGTATCTGCTCTCGGCAATGCGGCGGCTTTTGCAAGCTTGCAAACTGTCGCACATGCTTCCAGTAGAGTCAAGGCCTCCGCTGCAGGAGTGCCTTTCTGCCCCACTCTTCGTGAAAACATGACCATGCCCAAGTGGCCAGAAACTGTGCAACACGGCCGTGACACCGTGAAGCAAATGTCAACATGCCCTGCTCGTGGTGGGTCGCGCCGAATCAACCTTTGCCAGAAGCTCAGATTGCTAGCATGTCTTGGCTTCTGTGACTCCGCCATCTGTCAGACAAAGCAGTCAGTGCCGCGGCTGCGGTCTGGGCCAACCGCACCAACGTGCAGCTGACCGCACGCTGTTTCCGAGCTTCCCGGTCAATCTCGTGCCCGGACAGTGCATATCACTGCAGCAACGCCGTGCAGCCTTGAAATGTAGCACATTCGCACTGTCACTGTGACCGGATTGAGGCTATGGCAGGCTACGTCAGCCTCTGCTAAAATGCTGACGCGTTTGCAGTAACCCTCTGTTTCTGAACTGCATACACATCGCGTCACTCCGCAAGCTCTGGCACTTGCTTGGGCTAGAAGCTGCGATTGCGCCAATCACACGAGAGTACAGCTGAGAAGGTTCCAGTAGCGCGATTCCCGTCAGGCCAGTGCAACACGGCTGTGCTAAATAGAGGGGTTAGACTGTCACACTGATGTTCGCATCTGACATCAACATGACCTGCTCCTGACTGCATCAACCTCTGCCAGATGCTCATATTGACACAAGCGGCTCTTTCAGCACAGGACGGGCCCCAGCACTCAAAGAGTCAACGAACCCATGGAGACGAGGAGATGGCGCCTGCTTAGCTGCTAAGCCGCTAAGCGTGGGAAACCTCGCCCTCAGAAGACAAGCCCGCTCTTTAGAAGGCTTGCGGCTTGCCTTTTAGAGTCCAACAGCTGCAACAGTCTCACTCCTGTCACGGCCACAGCATCTCTGCGACAGGAGGTTGATGATGCTGTCGTGCTCTCCTGTGCGTCGGGTCTTCACCTGATGTCGATCACCCACAACCAAGCACATGCCAGCCCTCTGTTGCGCAAACAAACTACTTGTTGGAGGCAGCGCAGCACGTGAGCGCATGACATTGTCTTGGAATTCGCTGGTTCGTCCATGTCAATGTCACTCACCATCTCCTGGGCTGCATCAACCACCAAAGATAGTTAGACAGCTAAAGTGGATTCACCGATTCACCCTTCCAATTTCCAAGAGCAATCTGTGCTACGACGTCTCCGATCCCACCAAGGTCAGGGTTGCGGCAGGCTCCCGGAGCAAGGAGCATGCGGCACATTTCAGGTGGCACGGTCCCGGCATAGTTCATGTCAGTCTCAACATGTTTTCTGAGCAACTGCCCAAAACCGACTGCTGTGGGAGAAGCTGCACCCAACACCTTCCGGGTATCGATGAGTGACTGGATAGTCCACCTGCAACCAGATTGGCGATGCATTGATAAGTGGAGGTTGTTGCAGGGCGGATGTTGCTGCCTTCCTCATCAGCTCCTTAGCTTCGCATAGCTTCGCTGCTCAGGGGCATCTCCTTCAGAACCAAACGCCCGCGCCCGCGCATCTCCAGAAGCCGATCGGCGGCCGAGGCCGGAGCAAGAAACCTTGAAACCCCCACCGCGCGCCACGAGTGGCCAGGGCCACGGATGTTTCGAACCCCTGCGATGTTTTGCGACTCTCATTAAATACCCGCCCGCCAGAGACATGCCCTTCTTCTGCCGGAGGCATCATGAAGATGGGGCTCCTTGACAGATTGGTGTCTCCCTGCCTTCAGCGCGCCTGTGAAAAAGTGGTGAGTGCATGGAAGACAGAAGATTCTCACAGAAACGATGTTGGATTCGGTCTCTTATCCGAACCGAACTTGCCGGACCTGCTACGTGAACGGCGTACCCGGCGTACCCTCATCAAGGAAAGGTACACGAACATCGCGACATCATGGAGGCACCTGTGCTCTCAAGAAAACTTCATGTGACACGACACGCTTGTGGCCGAAGCGCAAGCCAGGACTTTCGTTAGCTGGATTCTTTGCGAAAGCGGC